TAATGAAAATTCTGGCACTTTGTATCCTCTAGGCCATGGATATGCTTGATCTACCCAATCAGGATATGGCTTTGTATAAGTTGGTCTAATGACAGGACGTACCCCAAAAGCCATTTGATCATGTACTATTTCCATAATTTGATTCCTCAACATAACATTAGGATCATATGGAACTCTTACAGGTTGATTCATTGGTTGAGTTATTTGAGGCCTAATATTTGGTCCTTGGTTTGTGGCAAAAACGCCATTGTTCAAACCATTATTACCGTTAGCCTGAGTGTTTCCACCATCACTAACACGCGGGGCGTTCTGTCCATTAGTTTGGACATTGTCTCTCATGTTTGGGCTACCCCCCATGTTAGATATTCCAATTCCACTATTTAAATTTGTCATCACACCACCCCCCTGGTTTAAAGTAGATGGGCCAAAAGGTGGCTCTATTCCTTGATTAGGACTCAGGACTGGGAACTATGTCCTACAATTGTCCTGTATTGAAAATGATTCCCTATTCCTGCATTGAAGTAGATGGGCCAAAAGGTGGCTCTATTCCTGGATTGAAAATGATTGAACTTGAAAAGCCTATGGTCTATGGATAAGGGAGCACCGAGCACATTAAAGACTAGAGGGAATGTGTTCTCGTTAACACCTTAATCTTTTAGACTAAAAAGTTCAAGACGGTTTGATTATGCTCGTTTGTGCTTTCTTTGTATTCTTTTAATTCTTTGGGCAGATTAGGAAATGCAGAGAAGGCCATATATCATTTCAAACATGCAGGAGCAGAAGCTGATCCTGATGTTATCAACAAGGCTAAAAATGTTCTCTTTCAACTAAACAATTGCACAGAGGCAAAGAGAATAAAAGAAAGTGGCCTTGCTATCGAAGCTGGTGTTGATTCTGCACTATTGTTTGGTCATTTTAGCATAATCATAATTAACAAGAAGTTTGGCTGTACTTAAAAGTAGTTTTTCTTGGCAGTATACTGCCATGAAAAATAGCTAAAAAGCTACTTTTAATTGCCAGCATCCTCTAAATCACATTGTTAAAATTGTTATAATTTTGATAATTTTCATGATACATCTGAGTTTTTTTTTTTTTTTGCTGCTTTTGACATAGATATTTGCTTTAAAAGCTGAGGCTTTATTACAGATCCATAAGCACCAAGAGGCAGATGAAACTATGGCAAAAGGTTCAAATTTTGAGATTAACGAATGTACCAAACTATTTGGCCCTATTGGCAGTGCAAATCTGTTGGTTGTTCGAGCTCAAGTTAATATAGTTGCAGGCAGGTTGTTGCCTTCTTTTTAAGTTGTTCAACGAGCAAGCATAGTATTAGAGGGCACAAATATTCAATAACCTATTTTTAAGAGTTGTGCATCCATTAAATTTGTGATAAATAGATTGATCAACAACAGAAAGCCTTTTAAGCGATTTAGAATATGTCAAACATCATCAACAAAACATACCAAAAAATAAGTGCTGATCATTATATGGATTTTTGAAGCGTCTGTTGTGATTTGACCGTCGTAGAAAGTCCAGGTAACCTTACAGGTTTGACGATGCTGTGGTGGCTGCTCAAACGAGCATCTAAACTGGACTTAAACAACAAGAAAGTAAACATTGTATTGAGAAAGACAAGAGCTATGGCAACAACAAGATCAAATGGTAATGATCTGTTCAAGGCAGCAAAATTTTCCAAAGCATCTGTTTCATATGGTGAAAGTCTCAGCCATGACCCCAGAAACGCCGTCTTACTATGCAACTGTGCTACCTGCCGCTCCAAACTTGGCCAATATGAAAATGCAGTTGAGGATTGTAATGCTGGGCTAAGTGTTCGTCAATCTTATAGTAAGGCTAGATTTAAGAAGAGAGGAATGCTACGCCAAGGTGATCACTTCTCTACCCAACAATTCAACATCGGTTAACCATTCCCAATCTTATTCAACCATCTTGTCTAATAGCTTTTACATTTAATCTTCAACACACTCCTTGAATGTAGGTCAGATTCATTTTTTAACTGTTTCGCGCGGATTTGTCGCTAACAATTAAAAGATAATTCAAACGTTTGTGTAAGGAACAAACATCTTGAGACAAAATCCCAAAAGTTGGTGCTTTATTTATTAAGATTACAATTGGGAATAAACAAAATGTCTCCAAGGGGCATAAGCACACGAAATAATTTGAAAGTTTGCACTTAGAAAATAAATGAATTTAAATTACATTTCTCTGTTTGAGAGTATTTGATTCGGGTTATTGTTCTATATTTTCTTTTCTCTTTTATACTCTTTGGACAGTTTTTCTTATAGAACCGTTTGAAAACTGCTTGTCGCGCTATAACTGCCCACTTTATCCATAATGGCTGACTTGTCAAAGAACTGCCATTCGTAACTGTTGCCATCACGCTCCTCATTTAACTGCTTGCCACCGAAATTCTTGGATCGTGGAGTGTGATAACATTGCTCAATAACTGCTTCAATAACCATTGCTTTAGATGATCAACAAAGCACTACCTTCGCTCATATCTTGGGCGTCTCGAAAGCCTGGGAGAGAATGGGACTGTCGTTCTGAGCGACCATGTGATACTTCATTCGCTCAGATCCTGGACGTCTTGCAGGCTTGGGTGATGGTGGTTCTCTGCTTGTGGGCCTCCATTATATTTTACAATAGTCTTGTTTGGGCTTATCCTTTAATTTCCTTACTGGGTTCTATTTCTTGGGCGATCTTAATTGGGCCTCATTTTTTGTATGTCAACATTAAATGCCACGAAAAATGCATTAAAAAATATATATTTTTATCACTTTAGTTAACAGTTGGGAAGATGGGAAGAATGCATACAAGACTGTTAAGAACTAACGAGAGAACCCAGATGATAAGGAAGTAAGAAAGGTGTTGAAGGAAGCTCAGGCACAGCTCTGTAAACAAAAAGGAGGGCAAGAAATTAAGAACATGACGACTACCAAAGTGTAATAGAATATAACTTTTATTAGATGCAAAGAAAAAGATTGCAAAGGTTGCTAGGGTTAGACTAATTGATAGGTTATTCTTCAACTTACAGTTTTAAGTTTAATTATTTTAGCTTCATCATATGTTTGGCACACTATTGAATTTAGTTCAATGTTATGTACTTTGAAATTGTTTAAACTAATACAAAGTCAGTCTAAATTGTAAAATGGTCTGATGTGGTATAAAAGATGTCATGACCATTTTTGAAATGGCAAATGGAGTATTGTGGTTGTTAAAATTTGGGTGTGAACCGAATTCCTTATTGAAGTTTTATTTTGGAAGCCTATTGAGAGTTGCAATTTGTTTTGGATTTGATTTTTTAATATCCTACTTCATCAACAACTTCACTAGGAGGGTTTGGACATCCACTACATGTTCCATATAAATATTGTGCTCTTCTATACAATTTTATAGGTGTGAGAAAATAGATTACTAGAATTATAGGATCTATTGTAATTTTTCTCTCTTCACCATTATTCTTAAGTCAATAAAATCTCTTAATTCATCTGTCATATGCTTATCTTTATTATTCTTTTGTTTGATCATATATTTCATTATTATTTGTCATATAACTTCAACATCTCAATCAGGTGGTTTGTTTCAGAACAATTGGTATCAGAGCTATTCTAGTGTCTTGATTGTTTTACAACAATTGATATCAGAGCTCCAGGTTCAGCAGTTCCGCAAGAGCGTAAAGTCTAATTTGTTCAAGATTTTTTATTCGTGATGGCTTCCATGAAGTATGACATTCCGCTTTTGGATCGAAGCACTAGATTTTCACTATAGCAGGTTAAGATGCGTGCAGTACTCACACAATTGGATTTGGATTATGCGTTGTAGGGAATTGACAGGATGCCCGCAACTTTGACCGCAGAGGAGAAATTACGGAAGGATAAGAAGGCAGTTTTTCACATTCATATTCATCTATTAAATACTATTCTTCTGGACGTTTTGAAAGAGAATTCAGCAGCTGCTTTATAATTGAGGTTGGAACAATTGTGCATGATTAAAAGTCTGACAAGCAAGTTGAACCTCAAGCAACGTTTATACTCTCATTGAATGGCAGAAGGAGGATCATTAGAAGATCACCTGGCTGTATTTAAGGAGATCGTCGCTAATTTGGAAACTTTGGAAGTAGAGTATGATGAAGAAGATTTGGCCTTGATCCTATTGTGTTCGTTGCCCGCTTCATTTTCTTCATTTAGAGATACGATTTTGTATAATTGTGATACTCTCACCATAGAGG